GGCCAGGGAGCAGGAGAACTACAGCAGCAGGGCTGTTGTAGAGATTCACCTCTGATCCTTGACTTAGGCAGTGACTAAATACTTATTAGGATGGGCTCTACTTAATGATAGGACTTGTCCATTTTCTTTTGAAGCAGAGGGGAAAGTCCAGGCAGTGTAAGGACTGCATACCAGTAGACCTTATCTGGTTCTTCTAATAGCCAGATCAGGGGGACGGTGCATGCTACAAAAACCTGGGGCTGCTGTAGGTCGTGATCAGCCTGGATGTGGCTGGTTGAACTGTGGTACCCTGACATATCTTGCAGCTGCAGGACAGAAATTCCTCTATCCCAAAAGATACTGCTTTGCACCTTTAGACAGAGCTGATAAAATATCTCCATTTGTTTTTATTCATCAGGATTACTACAGCATCCCATTCCCCACACCCACCACCCCGCTGACTGGAAGAGATGGCAGCCTGAGCAGCAATCCATACTCTGGTAGGGGAAAAGTCTGCTCTAAATCCCATTCCATCAGGGTTTGTGCTGCTGCTACTGGTGTCCTGTGCCTTTGTCTGCTGGAGCTACATCTGCACCAGCCTCCTGCACCGCCTTTGGTTTGGAGCACGTCTCACAGCTAAATTCTTGTCTTGTCTTTGGACATGTGGTTTTGTCAAGGCCTGTTACAGGGAAGAGGTGGGCGAGTAGGAGTTAGTGTGGCAGTTGGAAAGGGAGTGAGGAAGGGCTGAAAGATTCAGCGAGGAGCACAGCTGGGGAACTGCTTTCCAGGTGGTGGTGAGGCCAGCACTCAAGTACTGCGAGTAAAAATACAAAGAAGCACAAAATATGGAGAAATTAAGTTTTTTATCTATGGGACAGTCTTATCAAGAAGACCAGTGGGACATTTGGGACCTGTCAAACTTGAACCAAGCACTCAGCGGGTGCCTGACCGCTCACTGACTTTGGCAGATGCATTTATGCACTGCCAACCTGCAGTGGGCAGTAACTGTGCTGAGCTTTCACATGCTTTAGGAATTGTTGCACTTTGAGGTTTGCTATTTTTCCAGCAGTGATTCTCCCTGGCTTCAGCAGGAGCCAGTTTGTGTGGAAGTGCTTTTGCCCAGCTGAGGCTTAAATGCCAAGCTTGGAGTGTGGCCCCATGTGAGCTCTGAACTGGGGAGTTTTTGCGTAGAAGAACCAAGGAGGTGCTCATGAAGAGCAGCCCAGGGAGCTTCCCCCAGCCCTGCAGCCAAGCCTTCCACAGCCCAGGCAGGGAACTGGGTTGTGTTCAGTCCTGCTGCTGGTGCCCCAAGAGGGATGAAGGAGAGCTGTAGCACCAGGCTCTGCTGCACAGGCAGCCAGTAGCAGGTTTATCCAGTGCTGGATTGTGGGCTGACGTCAGGCAGTGCAGCACAGTAGCTGAGCTACTGTGGGCTTCCCTTCTCCCCGGTAGTTCTCCCAGGGCCAAGGAGTAATTAACAGCTTTGCCTTATCAGTGTGCAAAGGTCTGAGGGCTTGTGAGGGCAGCAGACTTTTGCAGTGGCAGGAGGGGGAACTGATTCAAGTAGCTGTTTATCAAAAGGCTTGGGTCAGCTTTGGGCTGAGCTGGAACAGGCCAGGATCTGGCACTTGTGTTCTTCACTCTCACCTCCTCTATTTCAGGTGACTTAACAAAATTTGGCCGAGGTGATGCCTCTTCTCCTGCTCCCGCAACAACTCTGGCACAGCCTCAGCAGAGCCAGACCCAGACCCATCACACCACCCAGCAGACGTTCCTGAACCCGGCGCTGCCTCCTGGCTACAGTTACACCAGTCTGCCGTACTACACAGGGGTACCAGGGCTCCCAAGCACCTTCCAGTATGGGCCCGCCGTGTTCCCTGTGAGTTTCCTGGAGGCAGGGTGTGGGATTTGGGCAGGGGGGTGGCACAGCAAAGCCCCTCCTCACTCTGCTCCTCTCTGTTCTGTAGGTTGCTCCTACCTCTTCCAAGCAGCACGGTGTGAATGTCAGCGTCAACGCATCAGCGACCCCTTTCCAACAGCCCAGTGGCTACGGCTCTCATGGGTACAGCACTGGTAAGAGACCTGTTGGAGCACCTTCCACGGTAGCAGGGCTTGTTCCCAGTCTCCCTGGCTGTGCTGGGGACTGCTGTCTTCCAGCAGTAAGGGAGGAGAATGCCTGGGGTGCCACTCTCGTGTCATTCGATTATCCCTGGAAAGGCCCAGGATTGTTCTGCATCCACATCTGGAGCGGTTTTGGGAGATACAGAGCACTTCATGCCCTCCTCTGTGCCCCACAGTCGAGTGGCTGGGGCCTTGAACCCCTGTCAGAAGCTGAATTGTTTGGTTTTATTTGATTTGTTGTTTTTTTAACTGCCTTTATGAGATCAATAGAACAGCAATTATTCTGGATTTGAATTCATTTCCCACCAGTGTATGGCAGACACTTTCTGGGGAGGTATCCTTGATTCAAAGATGCAGGAAGGTTGTGAACCTGCCGCCTGTCTTGGTACTGGTTTCACTGGTTGGCGTCCAGCTGACTTACACAGGGGTGCATTTGGGTCCCTCTTCTAGCCTTTAAATTCCACTTGTCCTTCTTTTCACTACATTAGAGCCCTTCAAGATACTATTTTCTCTTTGTGAAGATCCTTCAGCTTTGTACCAGGTCATCTTGTGCTGAGTCCTTCAAACCTCTTTGATTGCAGCACTTTTTCTGCACCTTAAATGGTCACTGAGTTCTCCTCTGGGCCACCCTGTTTCACAGACAGCCCTGTGCAGGTTGTGTTGGCGGTCACTGCACCAACTATCCCAGCCCACAGCCGAGTTGTCTTTACATGCAATTGCCTGTTATACACACGAGGAGCTCTCAGGCTGTTCTTGCTGCCGTGTTCCATGCTGGGGGTTTGTTTCCATGTCTCTGTGCTGCATTCCCCAGCTCTCCTCAGAGCTGCTGTTTTCTGGGTGTTTCTCTGTGTGTTTTTCCAGCCCCTCACTTGCCTTCTGGACTCGTGTCCAGAGCAGAAGAACTTAAATTTGTATGGGTGCTTTGCTCATGGCCATGCCAGGACCCTGCTCCCCAGGCGGATCTGTCTTTAGACCTTCCCTGGCCACCAGAGCTCTCCACCAGGTGCTGCTGGTTGTCAGCAGCTCCTGCTGAACCGGTGGCTGCTGCCTAATGCTCTCCTGCCTCTCCCTCCTCCTCAGGTGTATCCGTGACATCCAGTAATACAGGCGTGCCGGACATCTCGGGCTCTGTCTACTCCAAAACTCAGGTTAGTGTCTGTGAGTGCTCCCTGCGTGGCTGCAGAGGGGAACTGAGCTCTGAGACAGCCTCCCTGTGCAATAAAGGTCTCTTCCCCTTGGATTGGTCAGCCAGGGAGAAGGGAAATGCTTGACCTTCTCCAGTTTAGAGCAATTCTAAGACCAGAAAGAGCCATAGGAAGAGACTCTGTCCATTCTCTGCATCACACACTGACTCTGGCCCACGACGTGTAGAGCTGGGGAGGGGCACGCTGCCAGCCTGGCTCCCAGCCCTTACTCCACTGTTGGCACCCTCTCCTCAGCAATCCTTCGAGAAGCAGGGATTTCACACTGGAACCCCGGCAGCCTCCTTCAACCTGCCTTCGGCACTGGGCAGCGGTGGCCCCATCAACCCTGCGACGGCGGCGGCGTATCCCCCCACCCCCTTCATGCACATCCTGACCCCGCATCAGCAGCCGCACTCGCAGATCCTCCACCACCACCTGCAGCAGGACGGGCAGGTGAGCGATGCCCCCGGCGCTCCAGCCCCTCGCTGGGGTATCTCCTAGGGCTCTTCCTCCCCCTCCAGCCTCCCCCCCCTCCCTCCCTCCCTCGTGTCCTACAGCGGACGCACGCGGTGACACACACACACTCACACCTGCACATACACACAGAGAGGTGAGAGGATGAGGTGAGGACACACCTGGGGTGTGCTCTGCTGGGGGGGCACTTGGCACAACCCCCCCCTGCTGCCAGGCTGCACTAGGAATGGCCAGGTAGTGCCCCCTCACGCAGACACACTCGGGGCATCCCGATCTCCCGCGTCCTCAGAGGGGCAGCCCCACAGGCCCAGCAGCAAAGGGGTCACTCGCCGCAGCCACGACCCTGCCGGAGCTTTCAGGTCTAACCGTGGATTTCTACTGTCATAGTTTGTCCCTTTATTTTACATATCCTGGTACTGCAACAGCTTCCATATTTGCAGATGATACTGTGCTGCCAACGCCAGCAGGAAGATCAGGTAATGAACTCTCTGATAACGCATTGCACTTGCCCTGGGGTCTCCCCCTGCCCCTAAGGCTGCCCAGGCTCAAGTAGCCTCTTCCTTCTCCCCCGTGGCCACGCAAGGTGAGGAGAGAGGCCCTCAGTCAGTATGTGCACACACACACACCCACGTGCAGACACACACGTTCCTGCGCTGACCCTTCCCTGCTGCCCCTGCCCCTGTGTGCTGCTGCCCTGGAGGAAGGCATGGAGCAGAGGGAGGGTGCTGGGGCTGCCGGGGCACAGACAGGACAGCCCCAGTGCCCCAGCCCTGGGAGCTCGGCTGGGCGGAGGCGGAGCAGCAGACGCCGAGGAGCTGTGGCCGCAGTGCCTGGCAGAGCTGAGGCATCGTCCTGCACAGTGGGCTGAGGCCGCTTCCCCCTCACACTCACCACCCGCTTCTCCTTCTGCCCCTTCCTGCAGAGCGGCTCCGGGCAGCGCAGCCAAGGCAGCTCCATCCCCCAGAAATCCCAGGCCAACAAATCTGCCTACAACAGCTACAGCTGGGGTGCCAACTGAGGCCGGGCCCCCCCACCACCACTTTGCTTCCGGAAGAGAATCCCAGCTACCCCGATGATGCTGAAGGATCCCAGGGAGGAGAGAGCCCTGTGGTGGGGAGCACCCAGGCCCCCAACCCCGGCAGGGCCCCGCAGGGCAGGCCGCAGGCACCTCTGCGTTGTCTGTCTTCAGCCACTTTCCTGTTGTATGTAATATAGAATTTGTATTTTTTCTTTTTTTTTTCCTTTTTTTTTCTCTCTGCATTCAGATCTGAACCGTTTGCCGTAGGGGCCTTTTTTGGTTTTTACTCCTTTCTGTCCCTTCTCCCCTCCTGCTGCCCCAGAACCTCTCAGATCCAAAGGAGTGGAAGCTGCGAGTCGCCTACAGCAAACCCCCTTATTATTAGGAATAAGACCAGTAATTGATATGAGCAGCATTGTAAGATTAATTAGTTGAAGTGTTTTTTTTGTACCGTGTTCTAAATTTAATGGATAAATGTGTCTTGTATATAAAAACAAAAACCCCATGCCGTCCTCTAGTTCTCTCATTTCCTTCCCCCTCCACTGCTGTCTGACAGAGGCCCCCCCCATATTTTACATTCTCCATCTGCGTGCCCCCCCTCCTCACGGGCCCTGAGTGCAGGTCCTGCTCCCCTTGCACGCTGTAAGTATCTTCTGCTTTTGGGTTGGGTTTTTTCTTTTTTTTTTTTTTCTATGCAGTCCAGATCTTGTATTTTTCGGTTCCACCTGGTCCCTTCAGCTGCAGTCCCAAGCAGGGATTTACTGAAGAGAATAAAGATCACAAAGTGATGTGTGTATTTTTTCCACCTTTCAGCCTGGTTCCCTATTTTTGGTGCAGGGGGTGGGAGGCCCTGGATGGGCGGGGGTGGCAACGCTTCCCCTACCTCTCCCCACCGTCTTGCTGGTTTGTGGGGTTTTTTTTTTTGTTCCCTCGTTTTGTGGATTTTTTTCCTGGCTGCAGCTCGGGGCAGCAGCAGGATCCCAGCACAGAGACAATGGCACAGTCCTTCTCCCCGAGATTCCCACCTTCCCCTTTTTCCCTTCCGCTGCTCCTCTCGGAGCTTGGGGGCTCCACCCCAGCCCCCACGTCCCCAGGAGGGGGTCGGGACAGGCTCGGCTGTCAGGGAGGGGAGTCTCGGGCGCTGGGGAGGGCAGCGGGACCATGAGGGTGGCAGGAAGGCCCGAGTGTCCCGGCAGCGGCTGCTGAGCTGCAGGGTGAAGGGGCCGAGGGCTCGGGGAGGGAGGAGAGGGCAAAGCCGGACCTCCCCGTGCTGTGGGTCCCAGTGGGGCAGCGGGAGGGCATTGGGCTGGGCCGGCGGAGCTCAGCTGGGGGCACAGCGCAGGGCCGCAGGACGCCGGGGGTGCAGGACAGAGCCCCCGCTGCCCCCGGGCCCGGCCGGGGGGACACGGGACCAGCCCCGCGGCGCCTCACGACACCCGGCGGCGCTTTGCGGCCGCGGCGCTTTGCGACCGCGCGACCCCGGGGCCTGGGGCACCGGGAGGGCCCGGGAGCGGGATGAGCTTCTACGACGCCTTTCGCGGCTTCTTCGGCTTCCCGGGGCGGCGCAGGTACCGCAACCGCGCCCGGCCCTGCCCGCACAGCCCCCGTCCCGGTGTCTCAGTGCCGCGCTCCCGCAGGCCCCGGGACCCGCTGTTCGGCGGCGCGGCGTGGGACGAGGAGGAGGAGGATGACGGCCCGTGCCTGGCGCAGCCCCCACAGGACTTCGGCTTCGGGTTCAGCGCCGGCGCGTCCCACGGCACCTTCGAGGAGCTGTTCCGGGACATGGGCGAGCTCCTGGGGGCCCTCGGGGGGGCCTGGGCCGGGCCCCCGCAGCTCTTCGGTGGGCATGGGGGGGGCCGCGGCTCAGCGGGGATGTGGGGGCCGCTCGGAGCCCCTCGGCCTGACCGACCTTCCCCTGCTCCGCAGCGCCCGCCCTGCCCGGCCCTGGCGAGGGGCGGCCGCTGCGGGACTCGATGCTGAAACATCCGGACAGCCCCCCCGCCGGCGCGGCCCCGGCGGGCCCCGAGGACGCCAGAGACCCGGCCCGGCCCTGGAGACCCTTCCTAGGGGTGGGTGAGGGGTTTCGGGTCCGCCTCCGCCGTGGCAGCCGTCGCACCCTGCTGGTGCCGCTCGGTGCTTGTGGCGGTGTTGCCCTGGTGTTGGGGTTTGCTTCTCACGTCACCGGCGCGTGGCTTTGCCTTGCAGGTGGAAGATGCTCGCCCGGCTCCTCCCGGCCTCAAGGAAGACCAAGGTGTGTGCTGGGAGTGGGGCCCGGGGGTCTCTGCGCTGCCGCGGCCGCCGGGGCGTGTCCCCACACCCGCGGCCACCGTGTCACATCTCCCCTCAGACTTGGACTCCCAGGTCTTCTCCGCGGGGCTGGGGACCATCCTGAGAGCCGACGAGCCCAAGTCCCGCTCCTACTTCCAGAGCGTCTCTGTCACCAAAGTGACTCTGCCTGACGGGGTGAGTGTCTCCGCGGGTGCGGCGGGGCCGTGGGTGCCTGGGGGGGTCGGGGGGTTCTGAGGGCTCGGCACTCCGTGCAGGCAGTGGAGGAGCGCCGCACCGTGCAGGACAGCCAGGGCCGCCGGGAGACCACGGTGACGCGCCGCAGGGGGGACCAGGCCTTCATCACCACCACCAAGGAGGACGGGCAGGGCAAGGACTACCGGGAGGAGGTGCTCAACATGGACGACCGTGAGTGGGGGGCGAGGGAGGGCGCGGGGGGCGGGAGGGGCCCGGCTGAGGGGGCTCTCCCTGCCTCTCCAGGGCAGCTGGCGCAGTTTGCAGGCTCGTGGCCGCGGCGGGACGAGCTCCGCCTTCCCAATCCGAGCGACCCGTCCTCCGTCCTGGGCAGCTTCCTCCGACACTGGTTCTCCAGCTGGTAGCTGTGCCCGGCCCTGGCTGAGCACCCAGTATGTTTGACACGTGCAGGGGGGACGGACCCCGGGGCTCCCCAGGGTCGTGGGGACGGCTCAGGGGCTGGGGCTGTCAAAGTGGACACTGGGCAGCAGCATCTTCTCACCACCTGGTTTTCTTGTAGGTGGGTCAGATCCTCCTGGGAGTTGGCACCTGGGCTGGGGGCTGCCTTCTTTCAGGAGTGCTGTGGAGCCACAGGAACCCCCGTGGGGGCCAAGTGCGTGTGTGTGTACAGAGCAATAAAGTCTATTTATGCTAAACAGTGACCTGCTCTGCTCCTTCAGGCTGGAATCTCGTGGGTTCGGAAGCAGATTCACCCTGGCTGCCAGGGTGGCTCTTGGGGGGCTGCCTGAGGGATGCAGGTGGTTGCCAGACTCCTGTGCCTGTGCTGCTCCCTGCTCACCTCCCTCTCCCATTTCACTGCCTGGTGCTGAGCCAAGGCCTCTTCATTAGCACTGACTGCAGCTGCAGCTTGGGCAAGGATGTGGCGGGAGAAGGGGGCTCCTGGCTGGGAAGCGCCTGTGCCCACTCACCTGAGTGAGGTCTGGGCTCCCCATGGCTGGTTGGGGATCTGACCTGGCCCTACTGGGGTGCAGCATCATCACGAGGTGTCCCAAGGTTCCCCAGCCCCACGTGGGACTCTGGTCCCTGCCGGGTGTCTCCCTCGGTGTGGCCCTGATTGGTTTAAAGTCTACACATTTATCACCCACCTGGCCCCAGGGCTCATAAAATCCACTGGGATCGAGGCATTACTGTCACTGCTGCCACCGCTGTCACAGCTGCCCCTTCCAAGCTGGCACCATGGGCTCTGCTTCATTCTTGACAAGGGCCCGGCGTCTGCTCCGAATTCGGAACCAGCTGATACGGGAATGCCTGGCTGAGCTGCTCTCCACTTTCGTCCTCATTGTGAGCGGGGCTGGGCTTGGCTGTGGGGGGCAAACGGGTGGGCTGGGGCTGATGGGGGGGTCATGTGGGTAGGATGGGGCTGACGGTGGGGTGCTGGCAGGTGCCAGGGGTCCCAGGGCTCCACTGCTTGCCCCTTGCTGGGGTGGGGGGTGTTCGGCGCTGTGCCACTCTCAAATGTGCGACTCAGCACTGCCTGTCCTTCCACTTGGACCCTGTTCCCATGGCATGGCCCGCCCTGTGCCGCGGCTCCGCTGCACTCAGGGTGTGGCACCGGGCAGCTGGTGCCACAATTCCTCCTGCCTTGGAATAGGCAGAGGTTGGGGCTCTGGAGCTGCTCTTGGCATTTGGGCTACATCCCACGATGGCAAATGGTGTCCCCATGGCTGTGCCGTAGCACTTCTTCCCCACCACCTCCCCAGGGAAGCAGTTCACTTAATTGCTAATAATTTGATTGCCTTGCTGTCAAAACCACAAGTGAGAGCAGTAAGCGCCTCCCTGCCAGTGCCTGTCCGATGTCCAAGGACGGGGAGCAAAACCACAGAGGCAGCACCGGCACAGCCCTCGCCTCACTGCCCTGTGCTGTCAGTGGAGGCAGTGTCTCAGCACAGGGCTGGTGGGGCTGAGATGGGCACGTCCCTCTTCTCCAGACAATCACCCTGGCTGGCGCTGCACAGAAGATCACCAGCGAAGAGACAAAGGGGGACCTCCTCACCGCCTACTTGGCAGGTGCCCTGGCTGTCATGGTGGGCATCTACATAGCAGGAGGAATCTCTGGTGAGGCTGAGGAGGGGGTACCAGCTCCTGCCATCCCCCAGCTCTGAGTCCCCCAGGACCCCTTCCTCCTAGCCCCTCTCCCTGCTTGGTTGTAGGGGCCCACATGAACCCGGCGTTCACAATCGCCATGTGCCTGACGGAGCAGTTCCCCTGGTGGAAGTTTCCCATCTTCATGCTCGTGGAGACCTTGGCATCTTTCCTATCTGCCGGAGTTGTCTACATCCTCTACTACGGTATGGGAGGGCAGCACCGGGCTGGGGAACCCCACGGCGGTGCCAGGCTGGCCAGGCTCACGGACAGGCTCTGCCTCTGCCCCACAGATGCCATCTGGCACTACAGCAATGGCACCCTTACCGTGTCCGGCCCCCGGGAAACCGCCTCCATCTTCGCCACCTACCCAGCTGACTACGTGTCTATCACCAACGGCTTCGTGGACCAGGTGGGTGCCACTGTCAGCTCCCCCAGCCC